TTGTATATATTAAAATTTTTATTATAATTTAATAAAACAAATTAAAACGAATTCTAAAATATCAGATAATATTTACTTTTATTTCGTACATTACATTTTTGGTATTCTACTTAGTGTGTCGATGAGAATTCGCTATGTTGCTAAAATATTAGACAATCAGTGACTGATAGACTTGTGGTTTACCCAAGGTTCAAGAGGCTCCTTCCGTTCCGTTGAATATAAAGATATTCAATTTGTTAAAGAACAATCTGATGTAATTGAGTTTATTGCAAACATGTTTAATGATATTAATTCAACACATAATCTGCTGTGAAGGAGACGATTGTGAGGAAAAAAAATTACACGTATAAAAAAATTGTAAATATAATTTGCTCATGGAATATCATGTATATGAGTAATGATAATTGTTCGCTTTCAACATCATCATTTTCTTTAATGCTTTGTTGCGATTCAACTGCTTTTATAAGGCTTTGAAGTTTCCATGAATATGCCACGTGCCGGAAAATAAATGATCACTTTGAACCTACAGAACAAGAGCTCGATTCAATTTTTGAATAATGTTTAAAATCCGTGAAGCCACGCGCTCGCGGCAAATCCACCGTGAACTTTAAAAAAAGAAATCTAAAGGAAAACAAACAAATGAACTTCACAACCGAGCGCATAATAATAAATCTCGAGAACGAAAAATACCACAAGGATAAGAAGCACTTTACTTTATCTTATAATGTTTTAAAACTATACTTATGCATCCACTACTCATTAGTTGCTACGTCTCGTTCTGGTCTCGCTTCGTCCTTGTCTCGCCCGCCTCCGGAGGGCCATTTATCAATTCCAAATAACGTGCCGGGACCTTTTCTCTCTTGTGTTTATTTATTTTTTACTAAACCGATCCTTTGGTGCACCGTCCGTGCCAGGGATTTTAACTTGAAATTGATTGTAAAGCCGGCTTAATGACTGCCATCCAATGCATTGTATGATGCTTTGATAATGCTAATTATTCGGCTAATGAGTAAACATTTAATGGGATATTTAAGGAACAAATGAACGCGGTAACCGAAGTCATGAACGGCAGGGAGCTTATTCGAAATTTAATGGAAACAATAAAACAAACGGAGCGAGGTTGATGATCATGATCTCCGTTTTGTAACGAACGTTTACCCGCGCCGAAATTAATAGAAGCAATTTTGCACTTGAAAACCATTAAAGACGACTATTAAAAGTCTCCAATTCCCTTGCGCGTGGATTGTTTTATTGAACATGGCGGTGCTTTTTCTCGAAGACGCTGTTTTAATTATTTATTTATTGCTTCTTGCGTCCCACCATCCTCGAGGACTTCATCCCGGGTTCGAAGGAATTCCTTAATATCCTCTTTTTACATAATTATGTTTTTCGTGCGCCGTTGTTTCTCTGAAATTTGTTGCAAATTAAACTTTAAAATTAATTTGGCCGTTGCAATACCGCGGTATTTAGTTTTGTCCGTATCGCCAGTCGATCGACGACTCTATTGCCATTCCAAAATTGAGCATGATTGGGTTGATGCCGTAAACTAAAAAGGTATTTTAAAGATGCCGGACATCAAGGGGGGTCCGGGACGAGTTTCCCCGTGAGCAAATAAAGCGGCGTCTATCTGAAATTAATTTTGTTTTGTTTCACCGTCTGGAGCCGAAGCATTTACATTGAATGCGGTCGGAGGCTGGTCGTTCGTTTGATATTTATGTAGGGGCCCGTAGAGTATGACGTGCGCATTATTCATAAACGATGAGCGGCTTCGACCAGCTGTATGTTATTTTTGCCGGTTCATCGGCTTCGCGATGGCTCGTAGGAAGCGCTCCACTTGCCGAAAATATTACAACTGATATTGTTCTCATGGCGACTGTTCAGCTATGAGTTCTGAGTTCGTTATTCATCTTTAGGTAACATTTGAGCAGTACCTAAATAAATCTCACATTGTTTCACACATGTGATATGGTAATCACCTGTAATTTGAGATACTTATTCACCTTAGTGAAAAAGTATCTTATAACAAATTCATTAAATATTTACGGCACTATAATACTCGTAAATTCCTCTCTCTCAGACACTGTCTCTACATCTGCCCTTAAAGTTGTTGAAACTGGACTCGGGCGGCGGTTTGGATACTTTTATGATTTCAATTCGTGAAAGTCCACTGCTTAAAGTGGGCCCTTTTCAATTTAAAAAGTGGTTATGCTTCTGTTCAACCAGAATTAATTTTATTAAAATGCAGCTTATGGAAAGATCAGAGAAAGTACTGGGAGACAGGAGAAGGATATATCAACAGTGATCCTGATGCGCAAAGAATGGAAAGGGTCGATATAGTTTGGGTACCTGCAGTATGTATGTATAAATCTGATGTGAATCGTGATTGGCTGCGTTTTAACGTTTGACCATAGGTTTTGTTGTATTGTGTAAATGTATCCAAACGATTATAGACGTCTGTTTTATATTATTATCTTATTTTAGGTCACAAAATGTTATCACACAATGCAGTTACCTGAGTGATTTCCACCGGCAAACGATTACCACCAGAGTTTGAGTCGTAATCCCATATACTATGCGTCCAACACCGAACAAATAATTGATTTTCGGCAAACACCTTCTAAGGATACCAGCATAACGATCATGTGTTGCCAACAGTAAGTGACAAGAATCTGACACCCAGTTTCCGGTATAGGCGTTCTACACCGCAGGGACGTAAACTTAAATATTTAAAATCGATCGAAGAATATTTATTACATTACTCGTATTGCCATAATAACCACTTTAGTAAGAGAAGTTATAAGAGCTATAACTAATGTTCGTTGTTATTCGCCATCATTACAATTTAAAAAAAAATCAAAACTTAGTCCAAAAAATATCATCGTCGCGTGATTTCAACCAGCATCGACGAAGTGAATTTGGAACATAGGATGCTGTGCGTGCAATCGGCGAGTTTAATTCGTGTTTGCCTCGGCCGTGGGCGTTTACGGCTAGGTATACTTAACTTTATAAGCGTCTAGGTCTAAACACGTGCTGCATATTGAGCGCTATCAAATTTTATAGCACCGACGGGCGCCGTGGCGTCGACTTTCCTGATTGGGTCCGCTACCGACACTGCGTGTTTCGCTATTCCATTTTCAATGACAATTTCCTGTGAAACATGGCTCACAATAAATTTTATACGCCTTTAACTGCAGTCGTAAGTAAATCCCTCACAGGTTTGCAGTGACGTTAAATGTACAAATGCGTAATTGTAAATCGCTTTATTTTTACTTGGTGCTTTTTGCGGCGTACTTTACGATTCAGTTAATTCTATTATGGATTCGCCGCGAACTGGTTGCAAACGCCGAACGGTATTATTGTGTTTCTGCTTTTTTATTCCTATTCTATTCTATTCTATTCTGTAACCATCACATTATATCTTTATAGAATCTAATTTTGTTCTTCAAACGTTAACGAATTTCATTAAAATAAACTTTTTAAGTTTCTTTACTAGTCGGAACTACAAATCACTTGCCGCATCGGCGTAAGTCCACTGTCCCATATCATTCCGTGGGTGTTGTAAGATACGACAGGGGGATGTTAAACAGGACATGAGCAGCAGCATGTTCCTGATGACTACTCAAAATCATAAAAAACCTGCGGGCGCCAATCCGCCTGCCAAAGATGAAAGCTATGGATTCTATGTTCAGCAGTGGAATGTTAATAAGCTGTAGGTTATGTGATTTGTGCTACTATGGCTTTTGTCAAGGTGACTTCAGTAATAATATATTTTTTTAAACCCTTTATTAATTATACTAAATACCAAAGCTAATACCCACAGCAAATTCTACGTCAAATCTCTTCGAACAGAAAATGCAAAATTTAAATACTATAACGAAGGTTTGTCATCTAATCCCTGATTGCAAGAAACAATTCATTAGAAATTGCGGCGCGCTAATTATTTATGCTGATAGATAGATAATAAAAAAGCCGGCGCGTCGGCTCGCCCGCCCGGCCTCGCGCTTTACAGCATTTGCGAGACTCGTACCACAAAACTCTGTGCTTGAGGCGATAAGCGACACTTCTCACACAGATTGTTACAGACGCTAATGCGAGACTTTTTATATAAGAGGAGGCAGACGAGCATGCGGCTAACCTGATGGCTGATGGTAAGTGACTACCGCCGCCGATGACCATATGGAACATCAAGGGAATACAAGATGCTCATAAGGCATACATACAATCAATCTGTAGTTCTGTACAGTTCATAAAACCCGGGGGGTCGTTACCCCCTAAGAAGACAATACAATACTCTTTATTGTACACCAAGAAAAGTTAAATATATTAAAAAGAAAAAATAAACAACTATTAAGGGAACTTATTGTTACATAGCAATCTCTTCCAGACAACCCAGAAGAAGAAATAAATAAAAATAAAAAGAACAATAGATAGATTGCACTAAACTAAAAAAAATAATATAGAAACATATGCATTAAAAAGACAACATCCTTCAGGTAGATCAATGACCATAATTAGAACAAGACTTCCGGGCATAGAGTCTCGAGTCCCGATATTTGCGTGGTTTATAACCTCTGCAGACGTCTCAGTGACTGACCTAAGCAATAGCAGGCGCATTGCCGGCCTTTTAAAAAAGAGTAGACGCTTATTACTGGAAATTAGGCATTTAACCTTAGTCCTCAAGGGTGACAACGCATCTGCATTTCGATTCTTAATTAAACATAGATATAGATGCCTACGGGCCACAGCATTCACTTACCATCAGGTGAAGTGTGTGCTTGTTTGTCACCATTATTCTATAAAAAATGTAGGCCCTTTTCTGGAATTAGGGTATGTGTTCGTTTCTCATCCGTATTATAAAAAAGTAGATTCTATTCTAGAATGTCCTTAAGTCATATCGGTCCTGGAAAATCGCTGGTGGTAGGCGATACCACAAGGAAGTTGTACGAGGAAGGAAACATCAACGGGCCGACCAGACTTTATATTGTTGTTTTCACTTCCAGATCCGAAGCCTGTGGGCGACGTGGAGGGGGTGCGGTGCTACTGCAACACGGCGCAGTGCGTGGGCACTGGATACATGTGCAGGTCGCGGCGAGGCGGCGGCTGCTACAGCGAGATGCCGGCGCTCCGGCGGACGCACCACGCACGGCACGGCTGCCTGCACCACTTGGCCGACACGTAAGTTGTACCCTGTAGCTGGAACACCGACAGAATCTACACGTATAAATTTAATTGAAGTGTCTGTCTGTAATATTGAAACAGATGCCTTTTATTGAGCTCAAGGGGTTATTCGCATGTCATGAATAATCATTTCCGAGGTTTTCGTCTGTCTGTCTGTTCGGGTAATCTTCGGAATAACTGAACCGATTGTGATAAAAATTTAGGGACAGAAAGAGAGCAAAGCTAGGAGTGATCTAGGCTAGATTTTATTCGAAAACACATGGAGTTTTTTTGTGATATCGAAAACTGATAAAATGAATGGTTTATAATCATTATCTTAATGACACCAAATTAACGGATGCAACCCAAGAGAAGCCCGGGCGGGTTGTACTAGTTAGATTACTTTCGAGTTTGTGATATTACTTAGTCTTATTCCACTCAAAAGGTCAAATAATTTGACTTTTAATAAAAAGAAAAAACCGACTTCCTACAACTAAAAAGAAAATAAAATAATTCCTATATAATTCACCTTTGAAGTCGGAGGCTTTTATAGGGCTATCACACTATCTACAGTCTACTGACTGAACCTGTTATGTGAAAATTGTTTTATTCTTTTTAGCTCTTTAAAGTTGACTTTTACATTTTTATTACAAGTCTAATTTGTTATTCTGAGACGCTGTTGTATTTGTATTTCGCTCACGTACACAAACCTTATGCATGTGGGCGTGCTAAGTGATTATTGATTACGACGCATATATATATTTTATCGAGAATTGCCAGGGTGAGCCAATTAGAGTGCGAATTGGCAGACTAGACTTATCCACGAAACATATTTTTTTTACTGATTGACTGTGCGAAAATAAAGAAAAAATGATATTATAAACATTAATTACTTGAAATCAAACATTTACAAGGAAGTTAACATTCACGATCATAAGGCGAAAATGTAATAAAAATTTGTAGCGACTTTTGGCCGACGTCAAGAGCCCAGAAAGAATTCGATCCGACGAGATACCACACAATCCTCGAATCTTTAATTACCGATCAACTAATTAGATTTGACCGTGAAAAAAGTTGTCTTTCTAGAGATACGACATTTCGGAATTTGTAAAATACCCTACATTTGCATTGTTTTAGCTTGTAAAAAAAAATACACGAGACGCGAGCTAATGTTTTTATTTTTAAATCTCGGTTTTGATTCGATATAAATCGTCTAAATAAAAACTGCAAGCGTGTTCCTTGTTGTAAGGATCTCAAAGTCTAGCGCCATCTATTGTCTTTTAATAATACTAGTAGCACTAGTAGTATTTGAACTTTATTTTACATAATAAAAATCATGAAAATGTATCAAAATATAAGGGAAGCGTGCAGTTTTAAATAAGACAAACGATCTGTATTAAATTGCACTCGTACTGTGATTTGTGATGACACCAGCACTGAAATTGTTTGTTGAGTGTATCTCTATCGTTCGAAAGAACAAAAAATGTATTTATGTATTTGCGCAAACAAAATTTTCGGAATTTGCCCTCACTCGCCTGCCCGAGAATATACTGCTCTAGAAGGAAGCTAAGGAGGTACTTCATCTTTTTATTTTAGGTATACCATATACCCTTCCGCTTCGCTGAACGTAAGTTAACCTAATCATTGTTATAAAAGTATCTTATGTTGTATCCCACGACATAATCGACTTCATGCCGAATTTCCTTAGAATTCGTCCAGCCGTCGAAGCGTTATTGAACGATAAATATCTAGGGAAACACACTTTTCATTACCGTCAGAGTCGACTTCTGGACACAGGCCTCCCCCATAGATGCCTTATAACACATTAGCTATAGTTGGAACGTTTTGACTTGATAACCGTAGTTTTTTTTATTTATCTGTTATCAAGAAGGTGCTGCTGCCCATCTCCTGATTCAAGTTTCCTCTGTCGCCTCTGTTGACAACCACGTGATGATATGTGGTGGTGGTACCCCGAAACTACACGATTAACATTTTTTCACATTCATAATATTATTAGTAAGAATAGAGTAATATTTCAGTTATTCTAATAACTAATAACTGTAAACTTCCTTAGTAATAAACAATACTTTTTTAATTTTTCTCAGCATCATTTTTATACGTGGTAGAGCCATGCTGCAGCTATCACTAATGGGTCGGCTCGACCGGGGATGGGCCACGCTCTCACAGAATACCAGTATGAAATAGCAGTTTAATGCTGCTGTGTTTCGTATGGTGAGTGTAGATAAGCGGTGGCCCTTTTTACTAGAAACGAAGCATTCCATCTTGGTTCTCAAGGCTGACAACGCATCGCATTTTGATTTTTAGTCAAGAATAGTTGTAGATGCCTATAGAGCAAGGCATTTACTTACCATTAGGACTGTGCTCGTTTGTCACCCTTATACTTAAAAAAAAAACATGCATGGGTGTCGTGGAACACTCGGTTGAAACGAAGTTCTTTTCGTAGTATATTATTATTGATAAACGTATTATATTATTAATTAACAAAAACATATAAATTAATTACTAGCGTCATTTAAAATAATATTTCTTTCATGGAAAGATAAGAAAATGTGCGAGGGAGATAGATATTCTTCCATCTTGCTTCCTTATAACCGCCAAGGCAGTTTACACTACGTCAGAAGGGGTTGTGACGGAAAAATTTTACACTTTTCTACCGACTTCAAAAAGGAGACGGTACTCAATTCGACTGTACGTTTTTTTTATGTGTGGTTATCTCATAACATTTTACTGGGTGGACCGAGTTCGATGATTCTTTTTTTATTTGAAATCTGGTGCTTCCCATGTGGTCCCATATAAATATGATCGAGGTCTGACCAATAGTTTTTGAGTTATTCTTAATAATTTATATTAAAGTCGGTTGTACAAATTTTTTAATTTTAAATTATTCTCGCCTAGCTTCCATCCGCCAAATTCGTACCGTCCGATAAGGGATTTCGTTCCGAAAGTTCACTGCTAGACATGGGCGTCTTTAGATCGTATCTCTACTCCCTATCGCCGGTCTAAGTACCTATTTAACGGCTCACGTAAACTGGACGAGTTATTCCGCCATCTATAGAAATTTATGAAATCTTAAAACACCCGCGGGACTATATTTCCTGAGGGATATAAGATGCTTCTTGATTTCTGGGCTTATGAGCTTCTTTTTACGTCGTCGTTACCATATAACACAAATAAATAAATTTTCATAAGCGATCGCCTATAATAAAAAACGCGTGAAGTTCACACGCAGTAGAAGAAACCTTCAGAAAAGGAAATCGAGGTATGTAGTAGGAAACATTCGTTCGCAGGCTAAATCTTATAAGGTAATCATCGATAAATTTTGTTTTAACTTTGTCTTAAGCCATTTTATACTTATACTAAAATAAACGAAATGTTGCACGCAAACCCACCGGCACCGGTTACGGATCAGCTTTCGCTAGAGGCATGCGCTGTTGTCGTACTATAATCGAATTAAAGTTTTAGCGCATGCGCTATTATTGCTCAGGTATGCGTTAGAGAAAGACGCAAGATGAACAGGAAAGCGCACTGGTATAGACATAGCTATCGTTATATGTTTCTCTTTTGAGTGTCGCTTTTTCGTTTCGTCGAGTTTCAAATAACAACGATTCTTAGAGGTTTTCAAAAATAAACACTATCTTCCCATAACTCAACTCGGTATACTTAAGCTCACACAAAATTAATTAACCATTCCTTTGTTTGACGGTGGGCAACACGCATTGTCATTCATCAATAGATCTTATCGCGGCTCGTAACGTTCCATCATAACATGCGCGTGCGTTGCCGAGAGTCATCGATCAATTTATCTACGGTCGTTACGAAATTACCTCGCGTAGCACTTTCGTCGTCGACGTATTATGACCGATGCGATTGCCCGTGAAACTACTGCGTATACTCAATTGAATAAGGAGTACCGGTGTAACCCACTATCCGATATGGGAGTAAAGCCGTGAGATCCGTGGTTGCTCAGGGGAGAAGCACTCGCTGTAAATTTCACAGTACGTGAGTAACCCGGGTTCGATCCCGCCGGCACCAATGAAATTGTTATTTGCTATTTTGAGTGCTGATTTACCACAGTGAAGTAAAACATCGTGAAGAAACCTCTATGTCTAAGAAGTTAAAAAAATATTTTGAAGACATAGACACGATATTGTGGCACCGCGGCGGACATTTCCTTGGCTTAAAACCCTCTCAGAAATGCTAGGAGGCCTGTGCCCAGCTGTAGGACGTAGGTATATAGGCTGTACTTTACTTTCATACGGGTGTGGTAAGAAGCGATAGATTATAACAAACCGGGAGATAGACAGCACCGTCTTCCTGATAACAAATTAAAAAAATTGCGTTTGCCAATCTGCCTGCCGCTTGGCAAGCAACTATGCACTTACCACCGGTGGAAATTATAATTGGGCACTGGCTTATCTATATCTATACAAATAAATAAAATTGAAGTGTCTGTTTATAATGTCAAAATAACAGCTTTTTACTAAATGCATATGATAGTATATACGGTACTTATAACAAAAATACAATTTTCAATATTTTTGTCTGTCTGTCTGTTTGTTCCGGCTAATCTCCAAAACGGCTGGACCATAGAAATATTATTCTTTTATTATATCTATGGGCTGCACCGATTTTAATGGGACTTTCACTGGCAAATAGCTGATGTTGTTAATGTACTTTTATTTAGAAAAAGATTGAGGGTTTCGCGCAAAAAATCAAAATTACACGCGGGCGAAGTCGCGGGGAACAGCTAGTAATTAATAAAATAAAAGTTTGCTATTGCTCCCGCCAAAAGCGGCAGTTGTAGCAAATCCTCCCTGACTCAAATTGTCCAAAAAAAAAAACTATTTGTCCAAATAAAAGACTGTTTGCAACTGATCGCGGTATTATTGTACTAAAAAAAGCGTTGATAAAAATCTTCCGAAAGGCTTTTTATATTAACTGCATTTACTCTCTAGAACTAGAAGTTTAATAAGTCCATATTATATTAAACATTAGCG